CTGCTGGTTTTACTTTCGTTGATTCTTGTGGTCACTGCGGTAATCTTCGAGGACCAAGTGAAAGTGTTTTTATTTTCTATTACATAATTATATTTCTGTTTCTAATTTTTAACGATTACAAATATGAATACTCAGTATTCATGCTTCAAAAATTCACATAATTGAACATCCCACATGGTTAACTATTTGAGGACAGTAATCTAATCTAGGTCTACCTCTACTCCTCGTACCTCCTGTTTCTGCTCCTAATGTGCCTCTGACTAGCCCTTCATGCCTGAGAAGGTGTCCTACCAACCTATCTCGCTTGTTTCTTATTGCATAATGCCCTCTGTTCTACTTTTTCTAATACCTCCTCATTGTTATCCACGGTATCCTCATCATTCGCCTGTATTTATATGTATGTAGCAGTCGTATTTACTGCAGTGGCCTCATCTACTGAGAAAATTACTTAATTATTGAGAGAATCGATTTTTTCAAGAACAATTTTTGGCATCACTTATTGTTTTTGAGGAAAAACAATCTGATGGATGAAACGAATTAATTCAAAGTAATTTAGGTCATAGTTTATACAATTAATCATGCGTAAAACCATCAATCATCAAAAATCTCCTTCCACTTTTCTTCTGGAAGATCTGAACAGATCTGGTCCTCAGTATCTGTTTGGGATCTCCCCCCTTTCGAATGATTAGAAAAAAAGCAAACTCACAGGGTGCTAAGTCTGGCTTATACTCGGCACTTAAGACGTTCAAGTACTGCTATTCAAAAATTGGAAAGTATCGCATGCTTAATTCGAGAGTGGATTATTGTGATGAAAATACAGTGTCCTTTCTCGAATTTGGTTGAATTTTCTGACGAAGCTTTTGAAAAAATTTTGGCAAACATTCGTGTGTGAATCAGGAGGCAGTTATAGTACGCTGGCTTCTCAATATTATTCGTTAAAATATACCCCGCCGTGTGCAGTGATCATCTTTTTCTTCAATGAACGTAATTTCTTCAACTGAACCGGAATTTGCTCATTTTCGAACAGCCAAACTTTATTCTTGTCTTTCAAGGTACGTCAAAATAAATAGCCAGATTTCGTCACCAGTGACAATATTGTTAAAGTACCATTTTCATATTTTTTTACACCTGTTAGCTCTCGTCTCCCTTTGTTCAATTTTGAGGTCGTGCGGCACCCATATCGTAGAAACTTGTCTTACCCCAAGGATGTCGTGAAGAATTTGGTGTAGACTTGGTGTATTTATCTGCAGAATCTCCTGTAACTATCTATTAACATGTTTTACGTCGATCTTCCTTTACTAATTTTAACACTTTTGCTTCGTTTTGTTAATCGGTAGCTGTAACGGTTGTTGGAACTTCATTGACATTACAAGATATACCACGTTCAAACTCAGGATACCATCGGTAAACTTCTGTACGATGCGGACATTTTTCCTTCAAAACAGTTTTCATTTCTTCCATGCGCTTATTATAAAACAACTAAACAAATAATGTCGAAGTGAAGATATTAACTGGAGTTTAAGATAAAAATATTTCCAACTACCCTCCATTAGTAGAACTAGTGTATTAGAAGACTTATCTAGTGACTTTTGTAATACATAATTCGCAAGCAGATACTAGATAAAAGGCCCCAAACTCATGTTACCAAAAGGGCTGCCATTTGTACCTTTGTTTTATGATAGTTGGTATTTGCAGCTATTATTTTGTGACTATAAGGAAGAATTACGTGATCATTAATATAAAAATATCATATTGACGCCCTGTATACGTGCATGGCACTTAAAAGTCTGTAGCAATATTTGCTTTTTAAAAAGTCAAAACGCCACAGTATTTTAATAATACAAATGCGGTGTTGTTAAGGTGGAGCTGCCGGGACAGCGCACAACTCTTCCTAATTCGATTTTCATTTTTAACTTAGCATCGACACAAAGAAGGCCATGAATTATGTATAGTACGCTTCAGCTACATGCAGTGTATGAATTTAAAAATCATTGTTGACTGTATGTTGTGTACTATGTCGGTTGTATTGTATGTATAAAATACGTAGACGGAGGAATTCCAAACTGCCTTATAGTACGAATGCTAATGTTGCAAACACACGCACATACACTCACTAGCTGCTACACACATAATCAACGCTGGAATGTCATAACTTCTACAGCAACTTTCATGCCAACTTTACACACTAATATTGCATTGCAAACATATATGGTGTACACGTATACTACTATCATATTATACGTACATGCAGGCTAAGTGTAAATAACAGATTTGCAGAAACAGGACCAGAAAACCAGTTATCCTTTTTTATTCTTATTTACTACAGAACTACAGACAATAATCAGGCACTTAATCAAAGGTATGCATGCTTGGAATATCTGTTTTAAGTGAGAAGTTCTCTAATGTATTGATACACGTCGGAAAATGCCGAGATACCTACACACTTTCCTACTGATTTCCATTTGTTGATGATTGCTTTTCATTACATACATTTGATACAGTTTTATCCATTTCCATACATTGGTCTTTTGTATATTGCCACGTTAAGCCCACGAGGTCACTTTTTCCTTTGAATGCAGTAACGTAAAATATTTGGATTGCTCTCATGGCAATCGTGGCTTTCATGTAACATAATCATGAGCCACCGTTGATGAAATAGAACCTTTTGAGTTCTAATGTATCGTTTCAATATTAAGTATCTCCTAATAAGTTCAAACTAAATTATGGTCGAGTGAGTGAAGCTAAGAATATTTCATATCTACGTAAATTACTTCAAATCAGAAACATTCGATCGTAGGGAATCAAATTCTTGAATTCTAATTTTGAAAATATATGCTACAAAAACGTGAAAATGCATTTCCGAAGAAGATTACCAATAGGTGCGCGTTTTGAAAATCTATGTACATATGAATTATTTTCCGTTATAACTTTTAACTTTTTAATCGACATGTTCATCAGTTTTTGTGGCAGTGCTTTTCGTGTACTCGATTGCTAAAAACAAAATTCGAAAATTTTGACATTTAATCTCGCTAAACACGTTAAAATTATCAGTTATTTATTAATTAAAAATGCCGATTGAAAGATGTGTATTACGCTAGCGGATCACATATTCATTTCCCTCATTAAAAAATATTTAGTGAAAGAATCTTTTAGAGTCTGCCGATTCCTAGAAATCGGATGATCTGATAGCTGGATATCATGCTAGAAGATCACATATTCGTTGATCTCGGGTTCAAAAAATGCTTATTTCAATTGGATTATTTTGTGAGCCTAAGATTAGCTGAAACAAATATGTGATCTGCTACCATGATATCAAGTTAACGGATCGTCCAAGTTCTCGAAATCTATAGATTCTACAAAATTAATTCTTTCGCTACACATTAACTACAAAATATTATGTCAATTAGATCCTATTCGGAGATCAAGATCCGCTGAAAAACGTATATGTGGTGTGCTAGCATGATGTCAAGCTAGTGGATCGACCGATTTCTAAATATCTAAANGTAGGTATTAGTCGAATCTGATTACCCCAAAAAGTTATAAATATTCACAAGAGAACATTGAACATTTTTTTTAGTATTTAAACAAATTAATTATTGTGCCATGGACGTGTACAAAAAAATCATGTAAATGTTGCCGTTAAGGCAGATACAATATAATTTAAATTACTTTATTATTCGTCCTAGTAGAAAACACCTTAAGAATGTTCGGCTGCCACGCGACCGGTTTGGGTTCGATTACTTCCCGATGTAATAGTTTTTTTTATTTTGGGTTAGATAAAATGAATTGGTGTAATTTCGGTCACATGCGATGCTACTATTTATTAATGCAAGGGTTAATTTTAAACTTAAACCCTGACTATTGTAAAAAGGTCGAGAAATTAATGAAATAACTAATTACAGTTTTTTTCCGTATTTCTTTTAATTATTTAAATATTTTTTGATTTTTTTCAATGAAAGAAACTTAATTACTCAAATAATTTAAGTTTTATTGTAATATTATAGAACGGTATAAAGCTTAGATTACTTCGTTAAATCAAACAGCATATTTCTGAATGAAAGAATTAGTATTTATCAAATTTTTGGTAATTGTTGTTACACTATAGTATGTCTTTATTGGACTATCGGGCCGTTAAAGCAAAAGAAATAACTACAACGGTTAGCCGACCAGTACATTAGTTTTAAACATCGTGAAATATAAATGACATTGATGTAAAATAAATTACATACACAAATATTCCATAATCGAGGAAATTACTGTTACGAAATTTAAATCTGTTGATAAGAAAAACAGTTGGATAATAACTAAAAAGAATTAACACTCTATCTCCCACTTATTCTTACGCCAATTGTAATACTATACAAATAAACAGTTTAAACTTTAATAATCTTTTGGCCGCATTTGCCAGAACTTTTGACTTTTGACGAAACATTTAAAATTAGTAAAATTTTCCATTAGTTTTTATTTGATTTTTTTTAATTAATTGTAATCATTTAATATTTGTCCCATTCTTTTTTTTAATATTATTTCGATAAACTGTTGGAGAATAAAAGGTATTCTGTTGTATTGTAATCAGTTTCGTGCTATTGTCAACTCATAGTTGCAGTGCATGATCTTAATTGTAAGCATGTTTATTATCTTATACTGTAACAAAAGTTAACCTCGAAGGTACCGCACCTTTTAAAACATTTGATTTCAATGTCTTTTTACACTTGACTGAATAGATATCTTGTCTATGCAATCATTGTATGTTTATAGTAGGCCCTCCCTATGACTGCAAAGGTGTGAGGTTGTAAAGTCTCAAGATGAGCGTAGGCCACCCTACCCCACATTGGTATTATGCTATGATGCTAATATTACGTTAATTATGAAAAATTCTTCTTCATATATAAAAAACGTTTGTCAATGAATGGTATCGGTGATAATTACTGCTCAAGTGTTTAAAATTTTCTATAACCATTTGCGTAATAATTACGTTTGTCATGTAGGTATTTACTTACTAGAAACAGCTTGTTCTCTCCTTTTCTTTAAAGTTGCTAGAAGATCTTCATTGCTTCTGAAAGGTCTTAAGATTCCCCCCTTAAGTTTCCTTCCCGATTCTGTTGTCGAACTGGTTTCTGCCGGTGCGGCTTCTTCTTCTTCAGGTAATTCTTCTTCTACAATTTCTTCCTCGTTTTCCTGAAACACCGAAGAGTTTTATTAATTCCTTTTACTTAAAATTTTTATATAAATTTTTTTTTATTGTTAAGTTCATTTTTAAAACTCAAGATTGTCATTGTTGAATAAACAATTACAAATTAAAAATTTAATAAGCTGTTTTGAAGGATCGTCTTGAACTACTTGACCATAGATTAATTAATGACGAAAAATAAACAACAAAGTTGCAAAGCCTGTTTTGAATTCAAATTAATTCGAGAAAAACATGAATTTCCATTTTTTTTAAATGTAAAAGGTATCTTCTAAAGCGAATAAAATTGAAATATATATAACGTATTTGTAAATGTAATTAAATAGTTACGAATATGGGATTATTTAGTTTTAAGAAAATGCGAAAATTACTTCAGGATAGGAAAAAGTGGATGTGCGTGTCGAACCAGTCTTCTGACTGACGACCTTGTGATAGTATGGTGTATGAAGTTATATGTATATTAGTTATAAGTCGTAGGCACGTAGCAAAATTAAGCATTTTATAAGCAGCCAAGGCTTTTAGAAAATATCTTTGCAATTTGTAAAACTTACAAATAAATAGTGAAATTATACATTAACGTTTTGTGTAAACGAGGATGTTAGGATTACTTGTTCAAAATGATAAAAATAGAAAATTGAATAAAATAAAAAGGAAAGCTACCTTTAGGTCTGGTGTTGGGGTTGTTGTAGTGGTAGTTGATGCTTTTGATCCAGCCCCTGCACGAATTAAAGGACTACGTCTGCCAACGATTGGGCGTGCTACTGGTTTCGGCGGAGGAGCCGGTTCCTCCTCATAATCGTATTCTTCTTCAGCAGGTCGTGCCGAACATAAGTTGATTAAAACTGCCAGGAACAGGAAGGCTCTAAATAAGAACAAACAATATCAGTTCAATTTAAAATCCCTCATTTACCTTTATTTGTTATTTAACTATAAGAATAAAATGAAAAATCTACGGGGTGTAACAAAAATAAGTGTCTAGCTTTGGAAGGTGTAAACTACATGCAACAAACAATCGCACGATGAGTTCAACAGTTCAGTTTTTAAGAAAAACAATCATTTACAATCTGAAGCCGGTCCTGTACGTGAATTGGCAACATAAATGTCTGCCGAATAGCGTAGTGCAATAAAAACACGTGGATGGAAAGTTTTTTCTTACTTTTTGTGTTCATATATTTACATAGTGCTGTTTGTAATGCACTTATTTAATTTATTTAATCTGAGTATGTTAGCAACCACCATGTTAAATGGTGAATGTCTGTATTTTTTTCTTTTCATATAGCGATTTCGGTTAAACACCAATTAATGTTATCGTACACCACGACAACCTCATAATGTTTGGCAAGTGTCTTACAAAAAATATTCCTTACACTAAATCTACGATTAGGAAAATAATAGACCTTGGTGTAATAAATTCAAATTGATAAATTGCTGTTTAAGGTAATAGGATTGCTTTTGGTGTACTCTAAAAAACGTCTTCAATCAATTTTTAGGGTAGGTCTAAGAATTAGCAGAGTTTTTCAGTTTTGTTTCTCGGTATGTACGTCTGGCCTATTGACATTTTCACTAGGTCTTTATATAGCTGTAAAATGCGAACAAATTAACGAACCCATTCTTACAATAAAACAATACTGGCAAACAACGGTTAATGTACCTACACGTAGGTATACGTAGTTATGTCGTGATAGGTAAAAGTGCAAAATATTTGTATAAATTAATGTAAATGTCATTCTTCACAAACGCCCGTAGCGCTCCTGCTTAAAATTATGCAATTAGAGGCACGAAATTTATGTTTATTATTAGGCAGAGAGATGTTGCCAATACCGAAAGACATACAAATGTAAATTCAAGTCAGACGATACTTTTCTGAAAATCGTATTTTTACTCGGGAAAGTTTCTAGAAAAATTTGTTATTAAAGTAGTCGGGCCGAAATTTCATTTACAACGAAATGACAATAAATTTTATACTAATACAGTTAAAACACTTTGATTAATAACAGTAATAATCTTAGGAAAGCCCACCTTTCCAGCAAGGTTTTGGTAGGATCCGGCCGCGTACCGGATAATGATGCTGGGTACTCGGCAGTACCGAGTAATTCTAGCAAAGAAAAAACAAATGCCGGCAATAATCATTGAATAAGTATAACAAAAAGCTTAACTAATGAAAATTGGTAATTAAAATTAAATTGAAATGGGTCGTTTGTCCTAATCTGTATTATTTCTACTTACTATTTCTCATGAACAATTGGTATATCATGTTTTGATAATGCAAACTTTTAGTGTTTATAAACATATATGTTTTGAGTGCGGCGCTGTACGGGTGCGAAACATTGACGATGGGCGCGACGGAAAAAAAAGGGTCAGAAGCGTTCGAAATGATGAGGATACCGTGGATAGAGAAGCTTAGAAATGAAGAGGTATTAGAAAGAATTGAAGTCAATAAGAAATAGGTGAGATAGGTTGGTAGGACACCTTCTCGGGCATGAAGGTCTAGTCAGAGACATATTAGGGGCAGAAACAGAAGTTAGGAGGGGTAGAGGTAGACCTAGATTAAATTACTGTTCGCAAATAGTTAAGGATGTGGATGTTCTAGTCTCAGGGAAATGCGAAGATTATCTCAGGGTAGGAAAGAGTGGAGGTGCGTGTCACAGCAGTTTTAGGACTGACGACCTTATGATAATGAAACTTTATAGGCTCGCTTGAACTGTTTACCATTTAACCGTCAACCAAGAAATAAAATTTCATTAGTTTGGTATTTAAATGATTTTTTGAATAAAACTTAAAGTGATTTGAGACGTTGGTGAGGGTGGTATTTAATGGAAAGCCCGTCAGAGCAAAGACATGAAACATTAACCCTATTTAATACAACTATGTGATGACAAATATGTACCCTACAAAATCACTATCCGGTGCATCTCTAATTCGCAGTGATTACACCAAAACTGTAATATATATATTTCTATTTATAAGTTATCATTTTTTAATTGTTTATGTTAGTAATCATTTTGTCTATTCGGCAACTTTTTTCCTCTTTAATTATTTATTAATTTCCTTTTTTATTTTGAAAATAACGGTTTTTGTCGTTTTGATTTAAAGTGTTTTTTAAGTTTCCATCAAGCTGATTATAACTACAATGATATCATGATAAACACTGCGGACAATGTTCCCTTTTCCATTTCTCGGTAGTATTTTTGGTATGGTCCATCTGTAATTAATTGCGGAAAATTAAAGATTTTCATTTCTTTCTCATATAGTGTAATGCGTGGTGTTAGATTAGGAAAACTCCTAAACTCTTTTTTATTTCTATATTGGCTTTATTAAAATCGACACGTACAAAAGACATTTCGTAAGTCGAGTTACCTGAGGCTAATGGCAAATATCAACTTGTACAATAAATAAAAAAGCCGTTGTAATGTTCACTTCTTCGAGAATTGTTTAGAAAGAAAGAAGAAGTGTAATTATGCAACTCAATAATAACGTGTTTACGATTGCATTTACTGTATAACTTATTGCTTTATACGTTTAGATATACAAGTTCGTATGCCATAAAATGCAACAGAGATACCGTATAGTGAGTGCATGGTGACTGGCCTGCCTTGACTAGTCAAGCAAACGTTTTATTTAAACAGGTTGTTTGTATATATCATTGTCATATTGACTTATCTAATGTTAACTAAGGGATTATGTAAATGGCACCTACGAGTAGCTTCTAATAACGTTTACTGAATATATTTACACCTAATTGGTTAATCTTAATTAAGCACATCTTTACGTTCGAATAATATGATGGTGGCTACTATAAGAAAATATGAACACATGTTTACCCTTTACGTTCCTTATTTTTACACTATTTTGGTACCACCTTAGGTTTCTAATGACTAGGGTTGCTAATCATCTAGATATATTGATATATATTGTCTCTGTAATTAAGCTCTCTTGATTCTACGTCTCGACAAAATGTGGCGGTTGAAACTCTAAAGAAAATCTGACAAATTTATTGATTTATTGGTTTGCAAACCAAAATGCAAATAAACAAACTTAATAGTGAAAATNTTTCATTTTTAACTTAGCATCGACACAAAGAAGGCCATGAATTATGTATAGTACGCTTCAGCTACATGCAGTGTATGAATTTAAAAATCATTGTTGACTGTATGTTGTGTACTATGTCGGTTGTATTGTATGTATAAAATACGTAGACGGAGGAATTCCAAACTGCCTTATAGTACGAATGCTAATGTTGCAAACACACGCACATACACTCACTAGCTGCTACACACATAATCAACGCTGGAATGTCATAACTTCTACAGCAACTTTCATGCCAACTTTACACACTAATATTGCATTGCAAACATATATGGTGTACACGTATACTACTATCATATTATACGTACATGCAGGCTAAGTGTAAATAACAGATTTGCAGAAACAGGACCAGAAAACCAGTTATCCTTTTTTATTCTTATTTACTACAGAACTACAGACAATAATCAGGCACTTAATCAAAGGTATGCATGCTTGGAATATCTGTTTTAAGTGAGAAGTTCTCTAATGTATTGATACACGTCGGAAAATGCCGAGATACCTACACACTTTCCTACTGATTTCCATTTGTTGATGATTGCTTTTCATTACATACATTTGATACAGTTTTATCCATTTCCATACATTGGTCTTTTGTATATTGCCACGTTAAGCCCACGAGGTCACTTTTTCCTTTGAATGCAGTAACGTAAAATATTTGGATTGCTCTCATGGCAATCGTGGCTTTCATGTAACATAATCATGAGCCACCGTTGATGAAATAGAACCTTTTGAGTTCTAATGTATCGTTTCAATATTAAGTATCTCCTAATAAGTTCAAACTAAATTATGGTCGAGTGAGTGAAGCTAAGAATATTTCATATCTACGTAAATTACTTCAAATCAGAAACATTCGATCGTAGGGAATCAAATTCTTGAATTCTAATTTTGAAAATATATGCTACAAAAACGTGAAAATGCATTTCCGAAGAAGATTACCAATAGGTGCGCGTTTTGAAAATCTATGTACATATGAATTATTTTCCGTTATAACTTTTAACTTTTTAATCGACATGTTCATCAGTTTTTGTGGCAGTGCTTTTCGTGTACTCGATTGCTAAAAACAAAATTCGAAAATTTTGACATTTAATCTCGCTAAACACGTTAAAATTATCAGTTATTTATTAATTAAAAATGCCGATTGAAAGATGTGTATTACGCTAGCGGATCACATATTCATTTCCCTCATTAAAAAATATTTAGTGAAAGAATCTTTTAGAGTCTGCCGATTCCTAGAAATCGGATGATCTGATAGCTGGATATCATGCTAGAAGATCACATATTCGTTGATCTCGGGTTCAAAAAATGCTTATTTCAATTGGATTATTTTGTGAGCCTAAGATTAGCTGAAACAAATATGTGATCTGCTACCATGATATCAAGTTAACGGATCGTCCAAGTTCTCGAAATCTATAGATTCTACAAAATTAATTCTTTCGCTACACATTAACTACAAAATATTATGTCAATTAGATCCTATTCGGAGATCAAGATCCGCTGAAAAACGTATATGTGGTGTACTAGCATGATGTCAAGCTAGTGGATCGACCGATTTCTAAATATCTAAAGAGTCATTAAAATGAATTCTTTCGGTATAAATTAACCACAAACATGCAATATCAAACTGGCAGATCATCCGATTTCTCGACATCTATGGACTCTACAAAATTCATTTTTTTACTCGAAATTATTAGAAATTAGCTACAAAATATGATATAACTCGGAATCGACTGAAACGAATATATGATCTGCTAGCATGATGTCAAAGCTAACGACCGA